CCAAGGAGAAAAAAAAGAACACGCCAATAATTTGAATGATGAGCAGGGTGCAGTGGCTCACATCTATAATCCCAGCTATAGCTGAGGTGGAGGTTCAAACAGTGCAGGGCCTGTTTTGCAAGCAGAAGCCCTGAGTTCAAACCCTGGTCCCACCAAAAAAAAAAAAAAGAATGAGGAGAGGGGCTTCAATTATCTTTTGTATCTTTCCATAGTTTGAATTTTCTAATCTCAAACAAATGTAACTTCAAAAAAAATGCCATCAGGCGTTATCTGAGTGGAGAGCTAATTTTTTTTTTAAAAAACTGTGTTTCTCTTTATTAGATAAAATTTCTCCCAGTACTATAAAAAAAATTTGTGTATGCATGTATATGTGTATGAGTTTCTTTTTTTTTTTCACTTGACACATTTAGGGAGTGTTTAAACTGCTAGAGTGAACTCGTGTAATCGTTCTACACTTTTTTGAGAGAAGAAATGATAAACCATTTTTCCCAGAGCTTAGAATGGCATGTGCCCATTGTGGAAAATGTAGAAAAATATAAAGAAGAAACTAACAAATCCAATTGTTAACATTTTAGCATGCTTCCTTTCAGGCTTCCTTTTATGCATTTTTTGGACATAGTTGAATTCATATGGTATATAGTTTTGCATCCTGTTTGTCTCTGCTAAGATTGATATATCAGCATTTTCCTATGTCATGATATCTGGATGGCCAGTGTATGGTCTTATCAAAATTCAACTCAATTAGCTATTTTATTTGAAGTGGAACATTTGGGGTGTTTCCAGTTTCTCCATATTAAAAATGAATCTGTGCTTGGGGGGAGGGGACAAAGATAGGAGGATTGCAGTTCAAGGCCAGCCAGCTCAAACTCAGTATCCTGGCCTGTTTGTTCAGGTGGGAGATGTTTTGTGTAAATTTAAGATTTAGCTTGAACTCTTAGAATAAAGAGTTAAAAGTTCTTTTTTAGTTCATTCACAATCACTTGTCTTTTAAGTGTTAGTATCTGTCATGAATCTGCTAATTTGTACTTACACAGCTGACCGATCATAAAAAACTAAGATGCACTGGATTGTATGGGATGAGTCTGAAATTAGTGTTAAAGAAAAGTGGTGCCCAACAATACAGCAACAGCCTATTCTTAAATGTGCAGCCAGTGTCAGGTGTACCAAAGTGTTCCTTGGACTGCTCTTAGAGGCATATTGATAGCAGGGAAGCATTTTGGAAACTTTAAGGGAAGTCTGTATTAGAGGCCAGAGCTGGTTACTTGCCTTAGAAACTTGTTACAAGCTTTGTTGATTGTGTTTTTGATCTTTGTAATAACTGATACTCTGTGTAACAGAGTGCCTCTCTGTTTTGGCCTATGTTGGAAATAATCTTATACCTTCCATAGAACTAAGTTTTTGTCCATCTACACAGAAAGTGTTTAGAGTGTAACACTCTTAAGTGCTATATAGACAGTTCCTTGGAGAGGAGGCAGGGGAGCATGTTTGTGGTGTGAAAGCCATGATGGAAGCTTCCCTAGCCATAGACTTTGTGCCGTAGACCTAGTGTGTCCTCTCTTCTCTCCCTGTTGTGTGTGCTTCAGAACTTCCAGCTGGCCTGCCACGAGGCCAATAGCTATTTGAAATGCTGGCTGCAGGATTAAGCTAACTCTTATGCAACTGACTCAGTCCTTAATGGCCAGTTCTTCTAAACATTTGTGGGGGGTGGGTTGTGGGGGAAGGGTTTAGGTGTTGGGATGAGGGTGAATTTGAAGCTTAAAGTTAAAACTAGAAATAAGATGATATGGTCTGTTGCTGTCTGTTTAGACAGGCTGTATGACCAATTAGATTTACATGGAGGCAGATCAGAGAGTAGTAATTCATGACTTGTGTGCAAACAAGCATTTATCCAGGTTGCATTATCCAAATTGGTTTGTTAAAACTCCAGGTCACATTCTTACACTTAGAAAAACATTCAGTAAACATGAGACAAGTTTAGGAAAAACTAATAAAATAAACCTGTCTTAAACTCAAAAAAAAAAAGAGACTTGGGACGATAGGCCAGCTCTCTACCACTGACCTATACTCCCAGGCCACTACCACGTGAGTTTTAATGGCTATCCCGTATTCTACACTATAGAATATGATACAAAGTATTATTAAGGCCAGTCTAATACAGTAACATTAAGATGCACACACGTTACATATTTATGTACCTTAGGTTACCTGTTTGGTTGTAAATGCTTAAAAAAAGAAACACCAAAGAACCAGCGCTGGTGGCACATGCCTGTAATCCTAGCTACTCAGGAGGCAGAGATCAGGAGACTCCCAGATCTAAGCTAGCCTGGGCAAATAGTTCACAAGACCCTCTCTTGAAAAAAATCTAACACAAAACAGGGTTGGTGGAGTGGCTCAAGTAGTAGAGAACCTACCTTGCAAGCATTCAGAGTTCAAGCCCCAGTACCACCAAATAAAAAGTTAGTGAGACTACAGATATGGTGGTACCATATCTGAAATTCCATCTACTGAGGAGGTGGAGGTAGGAGGATCGAGGTCTAAGGCCAGCTGGGGCCTACCTGAAAAACAAAAAAATAAAAGGACTGGGCTCAAGTGATACAGTACTTAAGGGCAAGGACCCGAGTTCAATTCCCAGTACAATTTTTAAAAAAAGGAATCTATGGTGAGCATTTTACCAATGAAATCTTTGTCACCCCAAGGAAAATTGTGTTTCCTTGTGGTGGGCTCCTAGAAGTGAAAAAGAGCTTTGTAGAAGTGGGATTAATGAATAGGAAACATTTTTTATGGACAGCATAAATTTATAATGGTATCTACTCCCCTAGACAGTACATGAGAGTCTCCCACTCTCTAGCCAGCATTGTACATTATCCCCCCAACTTTAAAATAATCTGTCCTATACGAAGGTGGTAGGTGACAATATCATCACCACGGTGTTTTTCTTTTTTCTTTCTTTTTTTTTTGAGGGGGGTAACTGGGCTTTGAACTTAGGGTTTCACACTTGCAAAGCAGGCATTACTGCTTGAGCCACACCTCCAATGCAATTTGCTCTGGTTATGTTGGAGATGGGGTCTCAGGAACTATTTGCCCAGGCTAGCCTCAAACCTCAATCTTCCTAATCTCAGCCTCCCAAGTAGCTGGATTACAGGCATGAGCCCCCTGCAGCCGGGCTACACGTTTTTCTTTTTTTTTATTATTAGCAAGACTGAACATTTTTCATAGGCTTATTCACCACTGGTATCTCTACTTGGAAACTACCTGTTCCTATTATGTCCATTTTGACTAGACTCACATATTTTCTGATTAACATGAGCCCTTAAATGATATTAATCTTTTGTGATATTAGTTGCAAATGAATTTTTTCAGAAGTTTGTTTGCTTGTAAGAATGTCTTGGCTGTACACGGTTCTTTTTTTGAAGGAATAATTGGATTCTAGCTACAACCGAATGCCCTCAGTTTGAGCCTGTTTCACCACGACTAAATTGAGGCTTGAGAGAAGATTTGGAGGGGCCGGTTCAGCTAATCCTAAATTTAGCTCTGAAGAAAAAAACGTGTGGGCCCGATATAAAGACTGTTTGGCTCATTACACTTTAAAATGATTTAAGAAGATGGAGGGGGTAGGGGCAGGATGAAGCAGTTTTTGCCAGAAATTTTTAGAATTCTGAAGTAAGAAGCCAATGCTCTTCTCAAGTCTCTTGGGTGATGGGAGGGGGAGTAAAGTATGTGCAAGTGAACAGAACTCCTGATGGAAAAGTACTGCTCTGGGCTGCAGATGTGTGCGCGGCTTGGTTTTAATTATTTTTCCCTTCTCTCTATCCTTTTTTCTGCTCTCCCTCCCCCCGCCCCGGCACAATATAAAGGGCAGCGAGATCAGGCCTCTGAAGGGTAGAGACAACCCTAGCTCCATAGCGGCCTGCTCCTGTGCAGCCTGTTAGCACATCAAAGGCCGGATGAAATAGCTGGGAAAGAAGAACCAGGCTTAAGATCCTTCCAAACTCCTGCCTTTGTGTGTGCTCTGGCCCAGGGTTATTGTGACAGCCAAGGGTAGCTCCTTAGACTTCAAATAGAAGAATGCTGTCAAACAAAGAAACGTTGGACATTATTCTGCAATTAAAAGAAAACTCAAGATGTGTGGCTCAAGGGGAAGAGCGCTGGCCTAGCTAAAGGCCCCGAGTTCAAACTCCAGTACTGGAGAGAAAGAGAGAGAGAATCACTTGTTGATGCCTGATGCCTGTGACTAAGCAAATCAGTGATTGCAAAAGGGTTCGTTATTTATTTATCACTGTTTTGAGAACAAACTAAAAATAAAGTGGTCGATCTGAGCCCCAGACTCTGAGTTGACCAACCCGAGTGACTGCTTTGCCCCGAGGCATCTGGGGGAGAACTGGGGAAGGGTCGTCCAAGAGCGCGAATGGGGGTTTCCAAAGTGAAAATGAGCAGTTTGGGTCTGTAAGGTGCAAAAGGGAATTCGAGGAATGAGTTTCCTGTCTCTCAAGACAACTTCATGGTCCTGGAAAATAGTGGGGGTTGGGGAATCAGAGAATGAAGGGCTTGGGTATGGGAGACAGGAGAGAAGCTTGAAGAAAAGGAGTTCGGCTTTGGCTCGCAGCAGGTGGCGGAGGGGTCCTGCCACAGAGGCGGGCAAAACCAAGGCTGTCCCAAAGGGGTCGGTCTGCCTGGAGCAACGCGGGTGCCAAGCAGGACTTCGTGCTGTGTCGCGGGTAGCTAGAAGATGGTGTGAGGGCGCTGTGAGGCCGGCGCAGGGGCCCCACAGGTAGAAGGGAGGGGTGGGTTCAGCTCTGTGGCGGGGGAGGCATGAGCCGGCTGGGGGCAGGGAGCCAAGAGCTCGAGGCTACGTGGGGGTCCGAGCCGGGGCCAGTCAGGATTGAACATGACTGGGCGTTTAGGGGGCCGCGGGAGGCGGGGCTTGGAGGCTCCGCCCCTTCTAGCCAGCCTGGCCCCGCCTCCCCGCCTGGCTCGTCCTGGTCGGCGGCGGAGTCCTGAGCGCCACAAGCTCGCTGAGAGGGAGGAGAAAGCTGTGAGTTCCGGAGCCCTGCCTAGCCCGGCCCAACCTTTGCTGGAGATCATGGCTGCCGAGGATGTGGTGGCGACGGGCGCCGACCCGAGCGAGCTGGAAAGCGGCGGGCTGCTGCACGAGATTTTCACGTCGCCGCTCAACCTGCTGCTGCTTGGCCTCTGCATCTTCCTGCTTTACAAGATCGTGCGCGGGGATCAGCCGGGGGCCGGCAGCGACAGCGACGACGATGAGCCGCCTCCGCTGCCCCGCCTCAAGCGGCGCGACTTCACTCCTGCCGAGCTGCGGCGTTTCGATGGTGTCCAGGACCCACGCATACTCATGGCCATCAACGGCAAGGTGTTCGACGTGACCAAAGGCCGCAAGTTCTACGGGCCCGGTAGGGCAGCCGGCGAGGGGATCCTGGAGACAAAAGAGGGAGCCCCAGCATGGGAGATGCGAAGGAGAGCGGGGCGTCCCCAGGGGGAAGAGGGAGTGCCGCGCGCCGGGAAGGGCGGGCTGGCGAAGGAGAGTCGGGCGGTCTTGGCTGGGCGGCTCCCCCCAGCAAAGCAGGGGACAAGAGACTCTCTGGAGGGGTTGCGGGTTAGTGGGGGTCGCAGATCCCCAGCTAGCGCTGGTACGGGGTGCAGGAAGAAGGCTGAGGCGCTGAACCCGGGATGGGTTGGGACCGCGAGGCTAGATGGCCAAGAGTGCAGGGTGTTGGGGGAGTTTCCGAAGGCAGTGGGGTTGGGGGGGTCCTGGAAGGGAGGGGGTTGGTGTTGGGTTTGAGAGAGGAAATGAGGATATCTCGGGGGAGACGGGGGTGGGGAGAGAGGAAGGGCGGGAAGTGAAGGAAGGCCGATGACGCCAGGAGTGGCCATGGTGGAATGTAAGGGTGTGGGAGAAAGAAAGCGGAGACGGGGATTAGCATCAGGTAGAAGCATTGTGCGTGGTGGAGAGTGATGTGTGCGTGCGCAGAGTGCATGCGCCATGTGTGCGTGTTTAGTGTATGTGGCTTGGTATGTGTGTGCGTGCGCCCGCGCGCTTGGAATGTGGCATGTGTCAGGTCTGTGTTGTATGTGTTTGGTATGTGTGTGGCGCGTGTTGTGTGTGGTGGACTGACGGAAAAGGCTACAAGGTGAACAAGGGAGGGAGGTTCGGTAGGGGGAAGGGAACTGGCTGAGAATGCAATAGGGCTGGATCTGGTGGCAAGGAGACAGGTAATATCCTATTTAGTCTGTAGCTGGAGAGAAAGAACTAGAAGGCAAAAACCAAAAATGGAGGGAGGGAAAAGTGGGAGGATCCCAAGAAACAAAAGGGTTAGGGCTGTAAAGGCTGCAGGGTCGGGGCATTTCAGGAAAAGTCAAGTAGAAGGGCAATGAGGGATGGGTGGATGACTGCTGAGCTTGTTGGAAGGGGATCCTTAGAGATGAGGTTCTTCCAAACCTCCTTGACCTATCAGAATCACCTGATGTACTTAAGGAAAAATACAGATCCTGGCCTAACCATAGGTATCTCTGGAGGAGGTCCAGGAATTTGCAATTTGAACATGCCTCCCATGGGCAAATTTGAGCAACAAGACAGATTTGGAAAGTCCTGTTTTCCAGAGTACTTGGAGAGGAGGAAGAAGCGATTTTAGCTCCTTCAATATGGACTCCTCTAAACACAGGGAGCTTAGGGGATGTATTTACACCCTCTCTGGTTTCAGAGCGGGAAGAGTAACCAGCACTAAACCAAACCGGCCATATCCACTCCTTCCTTTAACTCTCTGGAGTCCCGCTAATCAAAATCAGATGTGGGAGTGTTCCTAAGGAACTCTCCCACCTGTTTTTTCTTTTGGACATGTCACATCACCTGTTTTCTGTAGGTGAGTTACTGCAAAATAATTAGAAAACCACATATTATTTGTCACTGTAGTAGCACATTAATAAACATAATTACATAAATACCTGTTATTACTGAGCTAAGCCATAAAGCAGCCAAAGCATGGCATCATCATATGGTTGTAGTTTGCAAAGTCATGGGGAGGAGTGTCAGCCTCTACACAAGGCCCCAAACTGGGAGTTGAGCAACCTGTATTCTCCTCCTGTTTGGGTCACTGACCAGGTGTGTGACCTGGTGCAAAGTATTGTTCTCCGTGAGCCTTAGTTGTCCCTCTGAAAAATAACAAGTCTGTCCCATTGTGAGATTTCTGTCTCTACTCTTCACTGTCATTGAGTGGGCCCATGAACACATGACAACACGATGTAAATGGTATTTCACTTTACAAAGAATTTCTAAAAATTTTTCATTTGAGTGCTTATTACTCTGTGCAAGGCACAGTGAAGAAAACAGACACAGATCTCTGCTCATGGAGTATCTACTAAATATACATTGTGGGGAACAGTATGTGCTTTCCAAAGACTTTTCCTGCATCCCCTAGACCGTGTTTGGGTATTCTGTGAGGTTTGCTAGGTAAACACCCATGCTATCAATCAGATGGCCAAAAACTTGACCATAACAGCTGGGGATACAGTAGTAGAGAACTTGCCTAGCATGTGCCAAGGTCCTTGGTTCAATCCACAGCACTGCAAAAGAAAAAATTCATGTAATTTGTAAAAAAAAAATGGTGGATTGAGGTTTCAGGTGAACAGGCTGAACTTGGTATGGTGGTTAGCTACAAACTTTAATATCAGGGTTGCTATTCAGCCTACTTTTGGGAAAACAAGACATTGTTTAAAGTACACACTGGATTCTTTTCACTTGTGCAATATTTAGATAAGTCTAACCATCCACTTTAAGTGCCTACAGAATGATTCATTGCTGTTTTAGACAACAGTTCATTATACTATCATACATAATAGCAAATGAAATTTTATAAAACTATTTTGGAGCATTGATTAGCCTTCTTTTCAGTGAAAAACTCAGTATTTTCAGAGACTTCAAGCCCACTGAAAACAGAATGATGGAACTGATCTTTTGTGCTAGCTCTTATTTACTGACAGTGAAAGTTATGTAATGTGTGGATAGATTTTTGAACCACTGATACTCATAAAACAATTTCTCCCACAGATGGCATGAGTTAATGTTTAATTGAGTCTTGTAATCAAAGATTCCTATAAGATACCTTTGACTCATTAAAATATCAGAATACATTTATAAGGAAATGTTTTCATTTATACATTAGTGGTTATCATCTTAAGAAATCATAACTCTTGGAATAGGGGTGTGGCACAAGCAATAGGGCCCTTGCCTAGCAAGTGCAAGAGTTCAAACCCCAGTATCACCGCCACCAAAAAAAAAAAAAAAAACAAAATATAATGTTCACTGGCTTGGTCCAAGTGCCTGGAACAGAGCCAAACTATAGGTTCAAAGTCCTCAAGCTGAATTCTAACCCATGGACTGTATTATCTTGAATAATTCCCTACCACCACAGCCACCCCCGAAATAATCATTTATGACTTTTGTGTTAGCTTTTTTGCAAGTCACAGGAGATTTAATGACAGTAGGTCTTTCAGTGTCCCCTATGTAATGATCAAAGTATTGATGTCACTTACAGTTACAGAATGGAATTTGATATTCAACAAGAGGGGCTTTCTGTGTTGATGGGTAAGGAAGCCATCTTGTGTGTGTGAAACAAAAGAGAAATGTATTATTAATAAAGAATCTGTTTTTGTTTTCATTTTGTTTTTAAAGAGGGACCATATGGGGTCTTTGCCGGGAGAGACGCATCCAGGGGCCTTGCCACATTTTGCCTGGATAAAGAAGCACTGAAGGATGAGTATGATGACCTTTCTGACCTCACTCCTGCCCAGCAGGAGACCCTGAATGACTGGGACTCTCAGTTCACTTGTAAGCATTTTTTAAAAATTGTGCCTGGATCAAATTTCTACCAGTAATGGGAATTCATGGTAGGACCATAGTTACTACTAAGCAGCCTGAAACTTGGGTGTGTTTTGATAGGCTCCTGATCAAGTTCATGGCTTAAAGTAATTATAGCAGTGCTGAGTCATTATGATTACATACCAATTTTTAGCTTGTTCTCTATGGAAACCTGGGTTTTCTGTTTTTGATTTTGAAATTTTTGCATCGAGTTTTGAATAGATTGATCACTAGCATTTGGGTGTGTAGGGGAAAGGACAGTGGCCCTCATGGCTAGAAAAGAAGGATTCTCAAAAGACCTCTCTTGTAGAGCTAGCCGTTTAAAAGCAACCCACATCTCTGTTGAAGAATGGGAGACTTGTACTCTACAAAACAGCTTCTCTTTGAATCTAATTGAGCTTGACTGTAGGCCTCAACTAAGATGCTTAAAATCTGCCCAGTAACAATGGTGTCTGCATTTTTAAAAAGCAAGAAAAAAGGAGACATTTGCTCCTGGCTTATGCAATGGGCTGAGGTCTTTGGGGGTGGAGGAAGTAGGAATAAGGGGTTAAATTCAAATGCTGAGAATTTGAGAATTGGCTTCTGTCATACCTAAGTCTTAAGGGTTTAATTATCACTTCAGCAATATTGTACTGCTACAAATTTGAGTAACAATCTTTCCCAGATTTTATGAAATGTAAAGACCATGACAATTTCTTTGAGGAAGATGTTTCATTTAAAATGTAGCTTTCAGCTGGGCATGATGACTCACTCTTGTAATCCCAGCTACTCAGGAGATAGAGATCAGGAGGATTGTAGTTCGAGGCCAACCCAGGCAAAAAATTAGCGAGACCCTATTTCAACAAACAAGCCTGGTGTGGTGGTGCACTGCTGTGTGCGACGCATAGGTAGGACGCTGGCTGTGAAGGCCATCCCTGAGTAAAAAGAGAGACCTTATCTGAAAAATAACTAAAGCGAAAAGGGTTCGGATGTGGCTGAAGTGATAGAGTGCCTGCCTAGCAATGGCAAGGTCCTGAGTTTAAACCCCAGTACCACGAAAAACATGAAAAAATAAAAGGTAGCCTTCTATTTACTGTTCTTTATAATCAGTTAAATATTACATGCTCTTTTGGCTATATCCAGCCATTTTCTTTGAAAATCATGCTGCCCTTACAGAGAATTCTGGGTTAATAATTAGCCAGATGTGATTCTACCTTTGAGTTTGGAACTCACACAGACCATAGCTTTAAGTCTAGAGGTGAGTCTTTTTACTTTGAAACATTATTCAGCTACCTAACACAGTCACTAATAATTGTATCCCAAGGATGCCTTTGTAATGATAATCTTCTATATGAAACCTAATGAGCTATAATTTATAACTTACAAAGGTCTATGTTCTAGGGCTTGCCTTCATCAGTGGGAGAAAAAGTGTTATTTTTTCCCCCTTCAATTAATACCAGCTCCAAATCCTGTTTTGACACCTCAGCTACACTCAAAGCTCTTGTGGCTTCCTCTTTCTTAAGACAGGTTTCCCAGGCGCCACCCAGCTTTTGTCTTGCACAGTCCCAAGCACCCCCTGGGACCTTTATGCTACCTTCAAATAGGGAAGTTCAAATTGTTCCCAACGATTATTTCACACAAAAGCAGCTCTGGTTACCTGGACAGACAGGTTGGTTTCTACCTATATTCAGAAAGGGGACTTGGTCCTCTTGCCTTCTGACATTGAGGTGATTAACCCTGCATTAGTTTGGCTACGATAATGTTCTTTGCACTTTTCTTTTTGGTGGCACTGGGGTTTGATGGGGCCTCATGCTTGCTAGACAGGCGTTTGAGCCACTCTGCTAGCACTTTTTTGTGAGGGATTTTTTCAAGATAGGGCCTCAAGAACTATTTTCCTGGGCTGGCTTTGAAACACAATCCTCCTGATCTCTGCCTCCTGAGTAGCTAGGAGTACAGGAGTGAGCCACTGGGGCTCTTAAATATCTCCAATATCTTCAGTCCTCTCCTGGCTTCTTTACCACTTCCTTTAGCTACCTCTAGGTTTTTTCCCCCATGTTGGGAAAAATTCTATCTCCTGTTGTCTTCTCCACCTACTTAACCATTATTCCTTCCCTTCCCTGTCAATCAGACTTGTCGTAAGTTGCACCCCTAGGCACTACTTTATTTCCTCCCTCCACCTCTTTCCTCGCTCCCTGTAGCACCTATATCCCCACAATTTGGTTGGATTCTCTCTTGAAGATTTCCAGGGACCTGCTTGCCAGTTATCACTTCACTTCTCTAGTCCATGTTGTGGATTTCCTGTCACGTGTTGCTCCAGAGTGACTCCCTCAACACAGTCCCCGTTTTGGTCCATGGGTTAAGTTAGGTTTCCCGTTTTCTTTCAAAGTATCTCATGTCCTTCCTTCTCTGCCTCTGCATGCTTCCCTCCTGGTGGCCCAGTTCCTACTCTGCTCTCACTGAAACCTGCCCTAAATCTCACCATTGTAATGTTATTGCCAAATCGCTGTTTTGCTGTGTCATTCCTTCACTCATAAATTTTCAGTGCCCTCTGCCATCTGTAGGTTAAGTTCAGTTCCTTAGGCTAGCTTTTTTCAGGTCTTTCCCAGTATTTCCCCACACTGATAAGCCAAACTTACCTGCTATTTACAAATACCGATTTGACTACTGACAACTTGTTCTCTTCATCGCTCTCCAGATATGTTCAGTCTTGCCAGTATGCCTTTGAACACAGTGTTTTCATTTTCTGGAACTCTCCCTCACCAAATCCTTGTACACATTTTCCAACGCCTGTCTTCCATGAAGTGCTCTGCAACCCTTCTAACTCATTCATAATGAGGTATTCTTCTAAACAAGACCCTACAAGCAGGCTCAGTTTGCTTTGATATTATCTTGCATATTCATTGCCAGACACTGCTGCCTGTTTTATATTTCTGTCTTTAGAACAAAACTCTTTAATTCCCTGCTGACAAGGATTGTGGTATAAACCACCTTTGGTTGGAAGACTAACCACAGGTTTGAGAAGACTAACACATTGCTGAGTACATTGTAGGACCCTCATGAATGCCTAAAATAATGTGATTTTTTTTTTTTTACAAAGCATGAGAATGACCATTTGTGTTTTCTTCTCTACCTCCAGTCAAGTATCACCATGTGGGCAAACTGCTGAAGGAAGGGGAGGAACCCACTGTGTACTCAGATGAGGAAGAACCAAAAGATGAGACTGCTCGGAAAAATGATTAAAGCATTCAGTGGGAGCATATCTATTTTTGTATTTTGTAGAATCATTTGTAACATTCCAGTCTGTCTTTAAAAATGGTGATTTGAATACTTAGAAAAGTTTTGAACTTGCTATAATTTTTAAATTAACATCACTAGTGACACCGATAAAATTAACTTCTTAGAATGCATGATGTTTGTGTGTCACAAATCCAGAAAGTGAACTTCAGTGCTGTAATGCAAATATTAATACTGTTTTTATTCTGTCTGTAGTTAGAACAAGCTGAATTTAAATTTGTTTTGCCTGTGAGACAGATAAGACTCGGGTATTTCCCCAAACTAGTAAAAATGTTAAATGTGCACCAAGAGCAAAGAGTCAACATTTAGTCATGTGTTCTCTGAAACCAACAACTCCCTTTTACTCCGTTGACTTAACTGCATGATTTCTGTTTTATCTACCTCTAAAGCAAATCTGCAGTGTTCCAAAGGCTTTGCTATCCATTAAAGAGAGCCACCCAGGAACAAAATGAAAGCTCAAAGCTGGGCTCAGTTGTGGAAAACATATTTACTAGTTTCTGGACTGTTTTGTTGTCCTTGTTTTCATGGGGACACACAAACACCCTCACAGACACAGTAAAGTTAAAAAACAGGATCTGAACATTCAAAATACAGCTTTGGAAGAAAAACCTAAATCCATGATGAAGATCATAGGACTGCTCTCCCAGGGCCTGTGCTCATGGCAGGGCAATGGTTTTATTTGGTTGTTTGACAAAATGTTAAATGAGAGAGAGGCATACAGAACAAAAACAGGTGTGTGCTCTAAGAGCGCACCCCTGGAATGAGGAAATAGTACATGGCACTAGTCAAATGGTTTGTAAGTAAAGAATAAAGAGTAGAGTCATAAGGTAACGGCCATCCTTCTGTTGCTAGAAAACTACAGCCACTGCGAAAGTAGTAGTCAAGTGTGTAGGTCTTGGATAATACACTTGGTTAACACTAAACCTAGCTTAAATAGACTCTACTATTGTATGAATTTGTAAAAGTATTATATGAACAACTAAAAAGCGAGGTTTAATACTCGTAGTTAAATAGTCATTGTATTTTCTTGTGAGCTGTGTTGAATGGTTTTACCTCATATCAGAAAACAAAATGAAGTGCTTTGGTCAGTTAATAAAATGGTTTTACCCAGTATGGTGTGCTTGGGTTGTTTTAATTCCTTTTCTTTCAAAATGTCTTTATCTAAATTTAATTTTATTTACAATATTAGCACATATTAGTTTGCAGTGGGACTTCATTGTGATACTTACATATGTGCTTCCAATGTATCTTAGTAAGATTGACCCCTCCATCATTCTCCCCCCAACCCCCCTCCTGGCTTCTTAGAATAATTTCAACATTTTTTTAAAACCTTATTTTAAGGAATCAGATCCAGTCATTTTACTTTAGCTTGAAATTCAGTTTCCCTTGAGTGCAGCTTTCTATTTTTTTGTATTCCAAAAGAGATGTGCCTGTAATCTCAGTGCTGGAGGCTGATTCAGGAGTATCATGAGGAGTATCGAGGCAAATCTGGGCTCCACAGTAAGACCCTGCCTCAAAGAATAAATAAAGGGAAAAACAAGTTAAGAAATAGTGAATTGAATTGCTTTTTGTGTGTGTGATACCAAACTCTGCTTCAAGTAAACTGAAGTCTATAGTAAGGTTGTCATGTTACAATTACTGAGCTCTAAGAAAGATTGTTGGTTGGTTTAGTTTTTGGTTTTGTTTTTTTGAGACAGGGTCTTAGTATGTAACCCAGGCTGGCCTTGAACTTGGGAACCCTCCTGCCTTAGTCTCCTGAGTGCTATGATTACAGTCGTGCACCACCATACCTGGCTTAAAGAGTTTTGTTTTTGTTTCATTGTATTATCAGGAGAGCACCCAGAATCCTCATAGTAAAATGAATTCACCTCATTAAAAGGAAGATAACAACTGCATATGCAGTAGGTTTTATAAACATGAGCAACCTGCTAATCTATGAATATTACTGTTTTGTCATTTTAATATTGGAATCTGCAGTTTTCTTAAGAGGTGTATTCCCCAAACAAAGAAAGTTTACGGCATGTATTGTTTTTAATGAGCTCTTTTTCCTCCACTAGATTACATTAAAATATTTGAGTGCCTATTTTGTGCCAGGCACTTTGGGAAAACAACAGGGGAGAGAAATTGAGTTACCTTTGCAGTCTGAAGTCTATTTAAATGTGCAGATTAAACTACTTTTACACAGTTAAGCAGGCTTGTCTGATGCCAAAAGGAAAACATCCACACTCATTAAAGCTTCAGTCTCAACACCCTGACTCCTCTCTATTCAGAGCTGAATTAACATTGTGTTGATTATATGTACAGGAAGCCACTTTTAAGGCAGGACTTTAATCCAAAAACTTATAAATCAGGCTGGCATATATGTAAACTGTAGCATGTAAAAGTCACTGTTCAAGAGGAGGGAGTATTTACTGCCACATGTATGCAGCATGGGAAGTCTCAGGTTAACATCTGTTTGCTACCCACCTGCTGTTATCCCACCAGCTGTGGAGGTACTGTGATTCACAAGCAGCACTGGCTACATGTGTTCTATATCTGTCTTCTTTATGTAGCATAACACTCACCTTACCTCAGAGGGCCAAGTTCATGCAAATCCTCAGTCCAGAACAAGCATCCATATAGTCCTTGCTGTTTCAGAAAGAACTCTTTGAAGCTGGGCACCAGTGGCTCACACCTGTAATCCTAGCTGCTCAGGAGGCAGAGATCAGGAGGATCACAGTTTGAAGCCAGCCTGGGCAAATAGTTAGTGAGACCCTATCTCAAAAAAAACCCATCACAAAAAAGGGCTGGTGGGTGGTGTGGCTTAAGTGGCAGAGTGCCTGCCTAGGAAGTGTGAGGCCCTGAGTTCAAACCCTGGTAATGCAAAAAAAGAAAAAAAGAACTCTTTGAACCATTTCAACTATAAAGTACCCAGTGTTTATTCTAAGGTACAGCCTGTCTTTGTTACATAATACTTTAGGCACTTTGGTATATATTTTATGTATAAACAGTTAACTTTTGAATGATCAATGACTGATTTTCAAGATCCTTAGTTTTTCTCACTACATTCCCCACCCCACACCCAAAATTATTTTTGGATCATCAGTAAACGTTAACATTTTTACCCAGTGCTGAGGGATGAGATGGAATTTCATAGAGTCAATTTTGCTACCTTTTAATAGCACTGATAAAATGTACTGAGCCAGGCATGGTGGCACAGACCTGTAATCCCAGTACTTGGGAGGCTGAGGCAAAAGGATGTGGAGTTCTAGACCAGCCGGGACTAAGCGAGACCTTTCTCAAAAGGCAAAACAAAAATGTACTGAAGGCAGGATAATCTTAAATCCAAATATGATTTCACTATAGCCAAAGTGAGACCACAACTCTAGTCTTTGGTTTCATGAACTCTGATAGTCAGTTCCCATGATAAAGGGAAAAGTTGCACTAAAAACTATTAAAATTAAAGCAACGGGGGTTAAATTTGATTAAAGCATGATATATATAGGCCTGAAGTACCAAGGCAAAACCCCTTTGGGAGGGGGAGAGTAAAAGAGGTCTTTTAGAGGGTGGGTATCAGTGGGAGGTGTTAGGCATAAGAAAAGGGGGAATGAGGTGAATGTATTTTGTATCATATATGAAAATAGAAGAATGAAACCTGCTGAGATTGTTCTAAGAAGGGGGAGGGGCAGGAGGGAGAATGATGGAGTAAATCTAAGCTATATTGTAAGCGCTTATCCTGCACAACTATTATATGGTATATTGTAAGAACTTTTTAAAATGTCACAATGTACTCCAGCACAACAATAAAAACATTAAACAATTTTTAAAACTATTAAAATTAGACATCAATAATTTCCATAGAAAATGTTATTATGGATGTAAAACACAATAGGCAATACATGTGACAAATGAACAGACTCAATAGTCACTATAACAATTTTATTTTAATATATATGAAAATTAAATATATTATTTTTCTAACAATGTAAATGAGGAAATAGGGCAACATTAGTGCAATGCAGCATACTACAGGTAGAAACTTCCCCCCCAAAATGGAATTATCAGCATTTATTTAAAAATTAACATTTTTTGTAACCAATAAAACAGTTTTGTAACCAGTAAAAATACACTTAGTTTATTTGGTTCTATTTTCAAAGTTAGCAGTTACATGGCTTTCTACCTGAGAAATTCAAATGAACAAAACCACAATGACAGATTTTAGTTTTCTTACAGCACTATCAGCAGCACATACAAGGATAACATGAAAATACCTATTTAAAAAGACAATGTTTAAAGTTTAGTAAGTTGGAAAAAAGACTTGGGAAAATTCTTTTGAAGCACTTTAAAAAAAACAGCATAACACAGAGTAGCATCATTAATTAAGAGAAAATAGTTCTAATAGTTTCAGTTCTACTTCATTCCTTACTAAGCCATTTGATTGAAAAGCACAGCATAAGTTGTTCTCTTCCTCATTTAAGGCTTACACAAGAAAAAAGTTGATTCAAATCTAGTATGCAGTATCACAAGCCAGATATAAAAATCCAGGGTTGTTCAGAACACCAACATAACATCAATATTTTTACTTTCTTCTAGGTTCCAGGATGCAAACAAATCAAATGACAAAAAAATGTATTTAGAAATGACTTAGCACCCATTCTATTATATAAAAAAATGCACATGCTATATTCTGCAATTTAATTTTTATCTTTACTGGGCAGCAAATTGTTTTCATGCCTAAAAACTATCCAAAAAAAGTGTAAAATGACAGAAGAAATTGAGATTTTTTTTTCAAAACAAGTTTAGCTGCTTTCCATTACAAATGTTCTTTGTTTCAATGGCATAAAATATGACAAAAATAAGAAGGCAGGTTTTTGTTGGAGGACAATACCTAGTTACCAGAAAGTTGTCTGACAAAATATAAACTGTTTGTAATTTAAAAGGCTACTCTGGCCAACAGTACTTTGAACACGAACAGTCATTGCTAGTCCTCTGAGGAGAGAAGACACTCACCTCATGAGCAATCTTTCAGATCTGACTAGCCAAACCTAGTTTTAACAGTGGAATTATTGGCTTGAAAGTGGGATTGAACACAAGAGCCAACATATCATTCATTGGTTTTTATCTTAGTAATAAATATGCTCTGCTGTGGTATATTATTCATTTCTCAATTTTTGTATGTTTTAACATTCCTCTATTCAAATGTGAATAGAGATCAATGAAACAACCTATGGCTCTTACTTCAGGTAAACAAGGTGATTTTGGTGCCTCTTTAGAGATCAGGTTGCTCAAGAGATTGGTTATGGGCACATATTATACAACATTATTAGGGCAACCACACTCACTGGCATCCTTCCTGGCTCTACCAGCTGGTGCTTTTCTACAGAATACCAAATTGGGACTCTTTGCCCTCCACTGCTCCTGTGGATTAAAATCACCTTTTCCTGTTACAGGCAGTCTCTAATCTCACTGATGTCTTCAATTACCAGGTTAGGTATAGCTTTGTTGGAAAATAAACATCATGTACTGCCACTGAGGTCCTAAATCCAGTGTAAGGCAGAATGAGTTGGCCAAGCTTTCTACAGAACATGCACTTCACTAAGATATGTCTAGGAATCTATAAAACGTCTAAATTTTAGAACATATTTAAGAAGGTTAAAACAAGGAGCTAAAAAGGTAAATTGCTTTTGTTAAATAGATTACAAACTCTGCACACACAACTTTCCACAGCTAGAAAACTATGGCCTTTTCCTTTAACTCTTCCTAACTCCATGGCATTACTGAGGACTGAAGAGGCACTTGTTATTGTTTTATAAAAGTCAGTTTAGGGATATTCAGTGACTTCTTACAAACTGATGTCACTCTACCCTGAGTGAAAGGATTATGTAGCCTGAAATGGAATACTGTCACATCTCTTCCCAAGTGTCATTACTGGTGCCCCAAGATCTTCCAACATTTCCTTGTACATAACCCTGGTTATATCACTTCAATTCTGTTGTGTTTCTTACATAGAAAGACATCAGGTTCATAAAACAAATAACAACAAAAACTCTGCTTTATGGCTCCTTTCCACCTAAACCTCAAAGGAGAATGAGCCCCCTTTAGATTCTTCTGAAAATTTGTCTCTGAAAGGACAACCATTTGAGTACTGTGAATATATTAAGATTAATTTCCTTCTGGTAGGTACTCATGAAACTTTAGTTCATGAAGAAGTCTATTATATGTTCTAGATGTTGTTATTACTAAGTAAAAGTCAGGAAGGTTTGTTACGGCACATGGTTTCTGAACAAATCAAAAGATGTTGTTCACTACTGTCCTCTTTGAAGATAAATGATACCAAATAATGATGCTGTAACGCTAAAGAGCCATAGAGTGTTATTCCAACCCTTCTCAATATTAATCTGCTCCTTCACTGGCACTGAAATAAGGCTGTACAAAAAGTCTGTCCTTGGATCACAAAGCTTTGTAAGCACATTGGTTTACCAAGCTTCAGAATCTGGAGGTTTAATATTTCCAAAGCTTGCCAATGTATCTGTAGTCATTTTGATCTATGCTTTAAACTTTGGCAAGAAAAACAAGAGTTTGCATTTGACCCTCCTCAAGCTCTTGCTCTGTAGCTACTAACTACATAGCTATATTTGGTTTTAAATTTTTCTTTTTACAAATTGTTGATTGTAAATAAGGGTGTTCCTGACCAAAGTGGCCATCAAAACATTTGAAAATTTGAAGAACTAGTGTCACTGTTTCCTAAATATCCTTCATAGTTAATGTCTTCCTGACTGATACGTCTAAAATAATAATTATCAGAATCAAACATGAAATCTTTAGAACTGTCATGTACTTTAAGCCTTCTTGTATTCTGGTTATAGTCTGATTTTTGAGGAGTCTCTCTTCTTTGGGGAAAATATCCCAAACGGACATTAGCACTTTTTGATGGTGTTGTTGGCACATGAGAGGGTCTATAGTCCACTTCCTGATCCAATGTACTACTACTAGCCCTCCTCCTCTTTCTTGGGATGTCCTCTAATTGATTGCTGGAACTGGATTCATAGGAGTAGCCTTCATCAAACAAGTATTTGGAGGATAGTTTTCCCCTGTTTTTACTGTTGTTCTTCTCATCTCTCAAGGAACTGTTTTCATCTCCAAGCCATGAACATTTCACTTCATACTTAGACCTTTTGCCTGGTGTCCTAAGATTGTATGTAGAGTATTTTTCCTCATTCTCATGTTTCCACTCTGAATATGAGGTCTGCTGACTTGACCTAGTTTTTTGTTTGCAAGTGACGATTTCATCAGTGTCAAGAGTTCCTTTTTCAGGAGAGCTACGATATGCAGTCACAGATTTCTCTTTCTCCTCTTTGCTTATGCTGAGTGTGTCACTGAAACATTCAGAATCACTACTAATTTCCTCTAAGAAATCTGTCAACTGCAAATCGAAGTCTGCTGAACTGATGGGTGAGGAAACTTGACTTTTCGTAGTGGATTGGGAATATTTGTCCTGGTGTGTGGGAGTCTTTTGTAAGGGATGGTGTTCTTCATCTGTTGGGGAAAGCCAACAAGTTTCTTCTAAGAAGTCTGTCAACTGAAAATCTAAGTCTGTTGAACTGATAGGTGAGGAACCTTGACTTTTCCTTGTAGACTGGGACTGATAAGTGTGAATCTTTTTTAAGAGGTAGTTCTCTCCATCAGCTGGGGACAGCTGATCACCAGCATCACTGGCTATATCCTTGCAATCATTTTTTAATTTCTTAGTATATTCTTTGGTATAGTCCACTTTTCCTCTCTTTTGTGGCTTATGCTTAGGATCCTGAGTACACACCATCAACCAGTAATCATCTTGAATCTGTCCTTTTCTTTCCAAGTTTTCCATTTGGCTCAAGTTGGTTGAGTGATACTCATGTTTTATCAAAGTGATCTGAAATCCATTCCCCTTAGCATGGACATCTCTGTGCCACTCACATGTGCTTGACAGGTGAGTTGGTTCTAAGCAGATACGGGCATATTTTGGAGTTTGAAAATAGTTTAACAGGTAGTTAATAAATTCATCTGTTTCATAGATCTTCTGTTTCCTGCCATAGTCTATCTCAGATAATATGGAAGAATAGGATTTACTTGAACTGTGGTGCTCTTCTTTTTCAAGAGACTGATCTTGAATCATTGTAACATGCAGGGAATTCTGGTCAGAGACCAAATGGTAATTGTATTCATCAGTTAATAATTTTCCAGTTTTCTCTTTTCTACTTGAGTATCTTATTTTTTTTCCTCTAGAGAAGTGGGAAGATTTATGTAGGTGAGCCCTGCTTCTTTTCTTCTTTTTTTGTTTTTGTTTATTGTCTGACTTGGCAACCTGATATTTTGGCATGTCTTCTTGATTTGGAAGAAGCTGAGTGTTTAACTCTTCTTCCTCCATAGTTTTCAATGTGGTCCTTGGAGTGTAATTAGCTTCGTGGTCTATAATGTTAACCTCTCTTGAGTTCAACTGTGTGGATCCCTTCAAAGAAAAATGTTAAGAAATCTCACATAAAAAAACAAAACAAATTAAATTTTTTTTTCAAAGAAAGTTGGGCTCTCTGATACTGTTCTAAAGAGATTTCTAATACCTGGGGTAGATCCAAATTAGGAACAATATCACACTGAGGAAATAGGAAGTACTAAATTAAATGTCTCAGTCTAATATGAGCTATTTTTATTAGGTCTGTGCCCATCCTTATGTCAGAAAGGCACTACACTTTACATGACCTTCAAAGCACACACTTTATTCATTTGTTCAAAATTGATGAGCCTACTATTCTAGGTATTATGATAGGAGATAAAGACACAAAGAGGAATAAGAAATGCTCTATAGTCTTCCTAGAATATCCTAGTACAAGAAAAGACAAATGGATGAAACGTGTGTCTAAAGAGTCAACTGGCTTAAAAGATAAATGGTTTTTCTATTTTATATTAGTCTCTTAGTATGGATTGCAGATGAGGGTGTCTCTGAGTTTCACCACCTTGTGTGCTTCATTAAGAAGGAAGACAAGAAAGACCTCAAGTAGCAAATGTGGCCATGAACATGGTTCTACATGCAGTCAAGTCTGTAATGCTATCTACTCAGCACAACTACAGGGCAGGTGAAAGTTGCCGCCTGTACCACCACTTCCAAGAGGGTCGGTAATGTGCTCCCACTGACACCTGTTACACATCAGGGCACAGTGCCTATCTATTACCTGGAATTAGAACCTGGGGACCACATAATCAGTATAAGTATTAATGGAGTCCAGAATTAAACTCCACACCCATTTAAGAGATAAATTCTTTAAAGGAATCACTCTTGGCTGTCACTAAAATAAACTAAAAAAGATCCAGCTATTATAATAAAAAAGATCCATTCATTATAAATGTGTGAGATTTTTCTAATTCTGATTTCACTAAATTTAATTGTCCACACCAATGAGAAAGAGGCCAAGATGGCAAACAGTCATAAAACTAACTATACAGAATAGCAATGGAATTCATTCTTCATATATAAAAAACTGAATATGGATTTTAAATCAACACTTTGGGAGTTCTTCGAGCTTTTAATCCAGGACATCTGCTGAGTCTGGCTGTCTTTAAAAGTTCAGGAAGGGAAAGAAATACCTTCCAAAAATGAAATTCTGCAAACAAAATAATTACCCTGTGAGATAAGGAATTCCTTACCAAATAATTCAAGATTAGGCTAACATAAACTTAACAACATTCAATGCTCTCCCTTCTCATCTAAACCCAGTACAGATGAATAGGCAAGTAAAGTTAGTAGAAGACTACAGACCTAATACCCACATTCATCCATTCCTTTCCCCTGGCATTTTTCTGTCACATCCATTAGGAAAAAGTAGATAAACTAGCTAAATAGTATGGTATAATAGTTAACAGCATCCTGAAGTTTAGAAATACAAGTACTGTGGGGGGGTGGCAGAATTGAGACACAACTACTTTAGAGAATGTAGAGATCCCTTTTGGACTTCCAAAGTTGGGGTTATCAGAGGTAAATCAATTTAAAAGTAGCCCCAATGAATGCCATGAGGCTTCCATAGAGTTGATTTTCAATAGGCCAGTGCTTATATGCAAAGGTTGGGGCTCAGAAAGATTAGTACCTACCAAAATTGAAGAACCACTGGGAAATAGCCTTACTGAAATGTTCTTCAGAAGTACCCGTAGTAAACGAAGGGCCTCAACCCGCTTCTGAGCCAGCAGGTACTTCCTCTCCTCCCACTCCTCTGAAGAGTCAGGCTCCTGAGATGCCTCAGGTTTGGCTTTCACCTTCTGTTTCCTTTGCCGGTGTCTGTCCCTTTCCTTCAGGACTCGCCTCCTGTCCCTGGCCTTCTTCCTCTTTTCCTGGGCTTTCCTCTCCTCATCTTTTCTTTTTCTGGACAATGATTAAGATTAAACCATTCAAAAGGCATTTATTAGGCATTTGATCTCCATCTCCCTCTTTCTTCCCAACAGGGGAGGACAGATGATTTATGTTTCCAGGAATCTATTACTGATATTCCCAAGGACCTGGCATTGACAACTTGTAATAAAAACCAAACCAAAATAAACAAACAAAAAACATAAGTATCAGTCAAGGGAAAAGGGCACACAGTTTCATTGGCCAAATATAAGAATGTAAAGGAGACTCTGTGCAGAAATGAAAGAATGAAAAAAGAAAAGGAGGGAAGGGAGAGGAAGGGAAAGAAAGGTGAAAGAAGCAAGGGAAAAAAGGAAGAAGAGAAGGAAGGGGAAGGGAGGGAAGGAGGAAGGAAGAGGAAGAAGCAAGCAAGCAATGAAATTCAAAGAAGCAATCCCTGCCCTTCACATTCTCAAACCACAAGCAGGTACTACAGGACCCAGACTTCAAGGTAATTTTACTTTTCTTGAGATCAAATCTTCTGAAGGTTGGTTTCACACAGGCAAATAAAGATGAGTCAAGATACTCAGAAAATCTTCAGGGAGAAAACTGGTCCTTGGCACATATTACTTAACACAGATGCTATCATAAAAACATACTGGCTTAGGAGAATGCAGGGTTTTCTTAACCCTTTTTTTTCTGAAACTTAGAATTAACTCAGTTAGGCCCTTATGGGAACGTGGGGAGGGAAAAGAAGGACTTAGCCAAAAGCCAGAAGATTATCTAAAAGGGATGTTCTCCATTAGAATTTGGAGGAGAAAAGTACTTTGACTGATCTCAAGCTCTGGCCAGGTTTCCTAGATGTAACCTTAAGTAGCTCTTGTCACCCCACCAGCCAAAGTAAGTGGCATCTGAAAGGGTACTCTTATTCCCTTTTTTGAATTTTATAGTTTACATGCAAGAGGAGGGGCCAGGAGGTAAAACTGGTTTTCAGAGCCTATAGTTCTGCCCTGCCTATCTGTACCTGCATAGCAAATATCTGGCCACCCAATAGTCCTTTCTAGTCTCAAGCTCCAAAATTAGGAAACAATGACAAGCCCAAAACAATAAATATGGAAGTTCCTTAACAAGAAAAATGGTACCAACAATCCTTAACTTTCTTCTCCATGGGTTACTTTGATTATTGATCATTTTATAGAAGAAAATCTTTTTCCAGACCTATATTAAACTTTTTAAGTTAGTGCACTAGGTAATTATTGTTAAATCATAGGTAAACTGGCAACATTTCTAACTGGGTAGGTTAGTATTTTCATTATAAAAGCTTCTGGTTCTAACTAGGGATGTAGCTCAATGGTGGAGTAGGTTGCCTAGCATGCACAAGGCTCTGGGTTCCATTTCTCCCAGCACAACAAAAAGAGTTCCTGGTTCTTTTTAAATATTATTTTGCCCCAGACATCTTAACCTGGCTAGTTGCATTGTTCCTCATTACTTGCTCTCCTCTACAGCCATATTTTTTCAAAGGCTCTTGTTTTCAACCATTTTGCCATTTTGTTTAATAACAGCCTTAATGGAGCTTTCCATCTGTACCAATACCTGCCCCTCCACCTCAATGTTATCTATCAAGTCTAGCTATTCAACCAAAGGGATTATATTAGTCCAAAAACCAAAAGAAAAAACCATCTTTGTTAAAATTGGTTTACTCACCTTTCAGCTATTTCCTCTTCTCTTTTCTTTTCTTTCTTCCTTTCTTCCTCCAACTCTTGTAGTTTTAGCCTTTCCTGATTTCTCTTTCTTATAGCTCCTTCACTGAAGTGTTTGGTTCTATCAAACATGACCTGCCCCCAAACAGTTTAAAGTTTTATCAGAAAGATTTTTAGCTCACAGGGTATATCCCAAGCCAGAGAGATAAAAGCGAAACGGTACATGGCAACTCAAACCAAATGCATTAAAAATGTCCTTCCTGCATCCCAGAACTCATACTGCTTGACTGTCTCTCAGCTGCCAGCTGAGCAGTACTTGTGGGCACCAGCAAGTATATCAAATCATCACCTTAACTTTATATAATTTATCAATTGTACCTCAATAAAAATATAAAAGAAAACCTCAAGGGGCTTCACATATGGCCATAGGCAGCTTTATAGTGCCAGTATATAGGCACAGGCCAGATTAAAAAAAATCACCTGAGTTAATTTTTTTTTTTGGTGGGACTGGGGTTTGAACTCCTGCTTGCAAAGCAGGAGCTCTACAGCTTGAGCCACACTTCCAGTCCATTTTGCTCTGGTTATTTTGGATATGGAGTCTCATGAAGTATTTGCCTGAGTTGGCCTTGAACCATGATCCTCCTGATCTTAGCCTCCCAAGTAGCTAGGAATGCAGGCATGAGCCACCAGCACCCAGCCAAGCTAATGTATTTTTAAAAACCACTAATGACAAAAAGTAGTCAACAAGCATGGTAAGGAATTGGGGAGCAAGGAGACAAAGACGCAAGAAAACTGAACTAATGAGATATAAGATCATACTATCATGATTATTAAACTACTTTTCAAATCCTGAAATAAAGTGAAAGTCATACTACAATAAATGGATTTGTTTAAATACTAAAAGGAGGCAGAGGCTGGGGATATAGCTCAGTGATAGAGCACTTGCCTAGTACGTGCAAGGCCCCGGGTTTGATCCCTAGCATCACAGAAAATAATAAAAGGTAAATAAATGGTTACCTGTGAGGGGAGGGAAAAGGGACTGAGGATAGGTATATGGACAGGGAGTGTACTCTCATTTTACTGGTAATGTTTTATTTTTTAAGCTGGCAGCAGTTATATGGGTAATCATTATACTATTAACTTTTTTCTGATTGAGTAGCTCGTAATTTAAATATACACATTTTAACACAAGTGGCTACACACATGTATACTCATACAATGGAAGCTGAAAGTCCGAATTCATGCTAAAGACTAATTTAGAGAAAAAGGAGGGTTAATCACATCTTTTCCACTGCTGAGTTAAGACTTCAAGAAGTAGTTGACCAAAGCATGCAGACATCAATGAAGTTAGATGATCAGATGGATCCAAGTTCATTTAGGATTATGTTTCAGCAGTTTACCTGATATACATGCTGAAAATATAGTTGTGACCCCAGGAATAATGAGGGAGTGAATGGCTCTCCTCGTGTTTTCAAACTGCATGTATCCCCCTCTCAGAAACTTGTCAAATATAATAAGTATAGGAGATAGTTCCACAGGGGGCACAAACAATCCTTTAATCCCCTCAAGAAGCTGGAGCAGAGCCCCAGATCATAACAAACATTACTTTAAAATCATAGCTGGCAGTATTCCTGATAGAAGAAGACTGGGTGCTCAAATAAGGATTATTTTTCTTCCTAAACATCCATTTATTAATGACAACATGAGTCTTTACAATAGCTATTGATCAGAGCCTGGTGAAATCTAAAGAAACTTATTCTAGATGCTTCCTTCCAGCTTTGACTCAGGATCATCTGAACAGTGGAAAATAAGGTCTGGATACTTCCTACCTTAATGTTACATGCCAGAGCTTTCCCATCATCTCCTTTAAGCATCAGCTTCATTCCTCGAAGGGACTCCATGGCTTTTATAAAGTCAGTTGACTCCTGGTACTGTATAAAGGCCTCAAATGTCTGCAAGCCAAAGCTAAAACCCCCAAAGCTGCCACCAGTCATCACTTCTCTGTAGGGGTCAAGCATGGGGATATCCACATTCTTGATCTTCCCAAAACTTTCAAAGACTACCCGAAGGATCTCTTCACATGGCTTCTCCCCACTGGAACCTTTAGGTGCAAACCACTTACAGGGCAAGCCTTCAAAATATATGGAATCTGGGCTCTTATCATGGTCCTGCTCTTCAGCCTCATCACTCACAGAAGCTTCTTTTTCTTTGGGGAAGTGCTCCCACTCTCCCTGGGCATCTGTAGCCACTACTTTTAAATCTGTTTTCAAACCATTTAGCTTGATGATCTTCCCATGTAACTTTGCCTTCAGGATCTGAACCAAACTTCGAGTTTCAGCCTCACCCTCAAAACGGATGAAGTCTTTTGTACTCTTGGAGAGCCGAACTGTGGTGAACTGGTCAGGGCAAATCAGGCTTTTCAGTTGGTCAAGAACTTCCCAGTTAGAGAAGGGCCTCACAGGTTCTATACACTCTGGGAGCAATACGTTGATCATTAATTTTGCTATAGGCTTGAGGTAGAGGTGTTGAGCTGCACAGAGCTCTGTTGCCTCAGAGTTATCATACACCACCGTGACTGTCATGGTGTCCTCACACAACCTTACAGGACAAAAGAGAAAATTTTAATACAAATGGAGCAAAACACAGATTTGGGCTGTGAAATGGTGCTACCATTGCTGGACTTAGATCCAACTGACAGAGGAAAGTATAATATGGGTAGAATAAAATAATATCTTGTAATTGTTAGAAATAATAAATAATTACAGTAGGGTTGCAGGATACAAGGTTAATACAAAAAGTAAATAGTTTCCTATAGACCAGCGAGGAACAAATAGAATTTAAGCGTTAAAATATGATGACATTTACATTAGAAATATGCACGAGACCTATCGATACAAGAGAAACTACAACCCTCTGATGAAAGATATCAAAGAACTAGATATGTGGTTATGGGGATAAGAAGAGTCCAAATTTGATCTATAGATTCAACATAATCCCAATTAAAAAATCTCAGCAAATTACTCTGAGGATTAAAAACTTGATTCTGAAGTTTATATGGAAAGGAAATAGCTAGTTCAATATTGAAGAACAAAGTTGACTTCAAGACTTACATAAAGCCACAGAAATCAAGACAATTTTGTATTGGCAAAAGAATAGACAAATACATTGATGGAACATAATAGAGTCCAGAAACAGACCAACGCAAATATAGTCAAATGAACTTTGAAAAAAGGAGCAAAGACAATATGATGGAGCAAACCATTTGTCCTTTCAACAAATAAAACTTGAACAACTGGATAACTGTATGACCTTGGGTATCATGAGAATGACTTTTTGGATGTAACACTAAAGGCATGATTAATGAAAGAAATAATTGATAAGCTAAAGTTCATTAAAATTTAAAACATCTGCTCTGCAAAAGATACTGTCAAGAGGATGGAAAAACAAGCCACAGACTGGAAAAAGATTTTCGTAAAAGATCTATCAAACAAGGGACTATCATCCAAAACATACAAAGAACCCCTAAACTTTAACAGTAAAAGTATAAACAATCTGTTTTAAAATGGGCTGAAGAGGGCTAAGGAATGTAGCATGCTTAGCATGCATAATGCCCTGCATTTGTTTCTGGCACTGTTTAAAAAAAGGTGGGGGGAGGAGTGAGCAGACCTTAACAGACACCCCCCACCCCAAAGGAAATATACCAGGTGGCAAAAAGCATTTTAAATATTACCTCTCTTAAAATGATTTCAAAGTCTGTGTTACATTTTTCTAAATAGCCTTAATTGAGGTCAATTCCAAAATTCTTTTATTGTGAATTATTTTTGTGATGCTGGGGATTGAACCTAGGCCTTCACACATACTAGGTAAGTGTTCTACTACTGAGCTACACCTCCAGCCCCTAGATTTGGTATTTAGAAATCATTAAAAATCACATAGAATCAAAATGTTGGATAAATGGATGACTATACAGAACTAGCACTGGAAGTGTGGTTCAAGTGGTAGAGGGTCTACTTTGCAAGCACAAAGCCGAGTTCAAACCCCAGTCCCATCAACTGAAAAAGTTCAGGAAGTTGAAGCATCCCTTTTTGCAGACAATATGATCTTATATGTAGAAAAGCCTAAAAGCTCCACCAAAACAGAAAGTGTTACAACTGATAAATTAAGTTGTGCAGTGGCTCATACCCATAATCTGAGCTACTCAGGAGGATCACAGTTCAAGACCAGCATGAGCAAAAAGTTATCCAGATCCCATCTCAACAAATAAGCAGGGTGAGGTGTTTAATACCTGTAATCCCAGCCACACAGGGGGCATATGTAAGAGGATTATGGTCCCAGGACTGCCCAGGCCAAGAAAAAAAATAAGACCCCATCTAAAAAATAACCTAAAGGGCTGACAGAGTGGCTCAAGTGGTAGAACGCCTGTCTATCAAGTGTGAGGCCCCAAGTTCAAACCCCAGTACTGCCAAAAAAAAAAAGACCTAAAAATTAAAAAGGGCTGGGGATATGGCTCAAGTGGCAAAACAGTTACCTAGCAAGGCAAAGGCCCTCATTTCAAACCTCAGCATTGCCAAAAAGAAGAACTCATAAATTCAGTAAAGTTGCAAAACTCAAGATCAACACACAAAAATCAGTAACATTTCTAAGGAGGGGGAGGGTAAATGAAGAAAGTAAAGATAGTGAATATGGTTGATGTACTTTCTATACAAGTATGACTATGGAACATTCAAACCTGCTGAAATCACAAGAAGGGGATTAAGGTAGAAAGGAGAATAATGGAGGAGATGAACCAATTTAGGGTAAAACACATATGTACATGGAAATGTCACAATGAAATTCCCTGTATAATCATCATAAACAAACAAAAATGTCTTTTTTAAAAAAGTGAAGCACAGGAAGGCAAAACAAGCCCTGTCCAGGGTTGGTTACCAGTGGGAGAAGGGAGAGCATAAGGAAAGAGTGAAGGCCAGAGAATGTCATGGAAATATTATGTACTCCTGTATGAAAATGAAACCTGTTGAAACTATTCTAAGAACAGGGGAAGGGGAGCTGGGCACAAGTGGCTCACGCCTGTAATCCTAGTTACTCAGGAGGCAGAGATCAGGAGGATCATGATTCAAAGCCAGCCCAGGCAAATATTTCTTGAGACCCTATCTTGAAAACACCCACCACAAAAAAGGGCTGGTAGAAAGGTGTAGGCTCTGAGGTCAAGCCTCAGTATGGCAAAAATAAATAAATAAATAAGAATGGGGAGGGGGACAGAGAATGATGGAGGGGGTGAATCTAAGATACATTGTAAGCGTTTTAGCAAATTTCACAATCTATCCCTGGTATAACTATAATATGCCAATAATTTTTTTACAAAACACCTAGGAATAAATTTAACAAGGGAGGTGAAAAAATTCTACAAATGAAAATTATAAAACACTGGTGAAGCCGGATGCTGGTGGCTCTCACACCTGTAATCCTAGCTATTTGGGAGGCCAAGATCAGAAGGGTCTTGTGGCTCAAGGCCAGCCCAGACAAATAGTTTGTGAGACCCCATGTCAACCAAGAGCTGGGTGCAGTGGTTCTTGCCTTTCATTCTAAGCTATGCAGGAAGCTGAGATCAGGAGGATCACAGTTCCAGGCCAACAGCTCCTCCCCAGCTCCACCCCCCAAAAAGTTTGCAAGACCCTATCTCAATAGAAAAAAACTGGGAGTGGTGGTGCATGTCTGTCATCCCACCAATGGCAGGGAAACTTAAAAAAGGACAACTGAGGTCCAGGCTGGCCTGGATAAAAAATGAGACCCTGTCTCCAAAACAACCAGATCAAAAAGGAGGCATGGCTCAAGCAGTACAGTGCCTGCCTAGCAAGCACAAAACCCTGAATTCAAAACCTAGTATCACCAAGCAAGCAAACACACAACAGAAACACTGATGAAAGGTATTAGAGAGGACATACGCACAAATGGAAATATATCCCATGTTCATGGATTGGAAGGACTAATAGTGTTAAAATGTCCATATTACTCAAAGTGATTTGCAGATTCAATGCAGTATCTATCAAAAATACCAAAGACATTCTTCATAAAAACAGAAAATAATGCTCTTAAAATTTATATGGAACTGCAAAAGATCCTGAATAGTGAAAGCCATTCTAGGCAAAAACAACAAAGCTGGAGGCATCACAATACCTGACTTTATAACATGCTACAAAACTGTAGTAACCAAAAAGCATGGCACTGATATAAAAACAGACACATACAACAATGGAACAAAATTAAGAATCCAGAAATAAATCTGTGTATTTAAAGTTAAGTGATTTTTGACAAAGGCTCCAGGAAGAAAGTCTCTTCAATAAATGATCTTGGAAAAACTGGATATCTGTATGCAGAGAAATGAAACTTAGATTCCTGTGACTCACCATATTCAAAAGTCAACTCAAAATGGATCAAAGATTTAAATGTAAGACCTGAAACTATGAAACAACCAGAAGAAAAAATAGGGGAAACACTTCAGCACATTGGTTTGGGCAAACAGTATGGAGGGTCCTCAAAAAACTATAATAGGACTACCATATGATCCAGAAATTCTACTACTGGGTATGTACCCAAAGTAAATGAAATCTGTATGCTGAAGACAGACCTGTACTCCCATGTTTACTGCAGCACCATTAACAACAGCCAAGATACAGAATCAACCTAGGTACCCACTGATAGATAAATGAGTAAAGAAATGTGGAGTACAAACACAAGAATATTATTCCACCTTTAAAAAGGAATGGAATCTTGTGATTTGCCACAACATGGATGCTGCTGTAGAACATTACGTTAAGTAAAATAATATAGGTATACAAAGGCAAATAATGCATGTTCTCACTTAGATGAGGAAATAGATGAGAAGTAGAGTAAAATGGTAGTTATCAAAGGCTGGGAAGGAGAGAGGAGAGAGGATGGGGAAAAGATGGCTTATGGGTACAGGGTACAATTAAATAGGAGGAATAACGCCTATTATTTCAAAGTAGGCAGTAGAGAGTATTTTGAATGTTTCTAACATAAAGAAATAATGTCTGAGGAGATGGATATGTCAATTACCATGATCTGATCACTATATATTGTATACCCCATAAATATATACAATTATTATATGTCAATTTAATTTAATTTAAATTATTAAGTGCCAATTAACAATTTTTAAAAAGTAAATTGCCTCTTTAAAACCTTCATAACTCTAATTCCTATTTCCCAATGACAACAACAACATACTGTGACATTTGTTCTTCTCATACTTTCTCATGCTACAGCAATGCCACTGAAAACTACTATAGTGCCTGGCACACAGATGCACCACAATTAATTGCCATCATGACCCTTCTTCCTTAAGGAGGCCTCAGACCAAAAACTAAAGAAAAGTAAAGGAGGAGGAGGAGGAATTAAAAAAGAGGGGAAGGATGGAGTGGGAGGTAGAGCTGTACTTACTGACAAGGAAGAATGCCCATGATACTTTTTAGAGGAAAACATAAAAAGCAAGTTGCAGAATAATAATGTACAATATAACTATTTTTGTAAAAGCTATACAAATAAATTCATAAAAGAATATAAA